CGAAATGTCTCTACATTTCTGGACTCCTACATCTTCCCCTTCTCTTTGCAAAAAAAGACCTTTTTTCTTTAATTCTTCCAGCATGGCTTCCTTGACCATGAATGAGTCAAGCAGATATTGTCTTCAGACATTTTCATTTGACTGATTCATGAGCAAAGCTATGTTGCCTAAGGCAATTAATAAAAAGATAAGGCACAAAAAAAAATGACTTGTTGATCTTATTCAAAAACCTTATCTTCCTCAAAAGTTCTCTATTGTAGATGCAAAAACACTCGCTCGCGGTGAGAGACTTCTCCAGCTTGCTGTTCAAGTATAAGCAATTTATTATAAGAGTAAAAGGAGGGGAGACCCGTGTCCGCCACCAGCCTTGGCGTCCACGTGGTCCGGGGGAGGGGAGACAGAACAGGTAGAGCAGGGAAGGTGAGGTTGGAAGGGAGAGGGAGGTGAGGTTGGAAGGGAGAGGGAGGGAGTAAGAGAGGAACAGAGGGAAAGAGCAGGGAAGGCGAGAGGGGTAGGAACAGGGAGAGGGGGCTGTGAGTTAAGAGGGGGGAGAGGGGAGAGGGGTAAAGGGAGGAGGGAGGAGGGAAGAGAGAAGAGGCAAGAGGTAAGAGGTAAGAGCAAAGAGAGCGAAGTTCTTGTTACAATCCAATATATCTTTTTCTATCGTGAATATTCTAATTACCAGAAACCAATCACCATGAGACACACCCACTAAAGAATTTACATACAACCTATGCTTTCATTTCTACTTTGATTCTAGCCTTCATATTTTCACAATCTAGTGCCAAACAATCACATTCATAAGGTTTCCCTGTTTCACCTTCCCCAACAGTTCTCAAACTTCTATAATAAACAACTCCCTCAAATTTCTCAGTCCATATATTTTGCACGTTGTTAACTCTTCAGCGTCTGGGATGTTGAATGGTGTCTTCACACAAAATCACGTTTGTGTGCTGGCTTCTTGATTTCAGGTGTCTTCTTCTTCTTGTTTCCCGGTTCGATAGGGTTTCACACACTTTGCAGGAACCCACTTTGGTCCTGCACCTGTGGAGACACAAGCATATCCTTTTCCCCAAGTTATTAGTTGAAATGGACCTTCAATTTGCTTTGATTCTAAATTTCTAATCAAAACTAAAGGTCTCTCCTTTAGTTTCACCTGTGTACTATTCGAGAAATGCCTGATAATCGGTGGAATTGGCTCTGCAAAAGAGCTATTCAGAAAGTTCAGGGCATACAGTGTTTTATTCAATCGCATCTGGGGTGTAGCTTCTGCCTCTCCTCTTTTCTGCCTATCTAGAATAGATTTTAAAGTACGGTGCGTTCTTTCAGTAATTGCTTGACTTGTTGAAGAATGGGGAATGCCAGTAGTGTGATAAACACCCCATTTTTTCAGAAATTCATCAAGACTACGATTATATGTTGGACCGTTATCTGTTTTGATTTCTTTAGGTACACCCAGTGATGCAAATGCCTGTAAGAAATGCTTACATGCATGTTTTGCTGTTTCCCCTGTGTGAAGAGAGGCAAAAACGGCACCCGAGAAAGTGTCCACTGATACATGGATATTCTTAAATCTCCCATAAGAGGGATATTTAGTGACATCCTCTTGCCATAATTGCAAACTCTCCAATCCCCTTGGGTTTACTGCTCCTGTAGACACAGGAGGCTGTGACAACTGGCAATCTGGACAGGCATTTATGATGGCTTTTGCTTGCTCTTTTGAAATACGAAAAGAGCGCACCAGTGCTTGTGCATTCTGATGAAAGAATGCATGATTCAATTTTACCTGTTCAAAAATATTTGGTAAGGTATTCGAAATAATCAAAGTCAATT